TTATTAAATTAAAACTATTATTATAATCTATTTATAAAAAATAAATAAATTTAGAAATAGATATCTGTATATAAAAAAAAATCTACATAATTATTATCATGATTATTATTTTTTGGACAAAACAAAAATTTAAATTACTAATTGTTTACAATACTATTATTATAAATGATATGATATTAATAATAATATACTAAAAATAATGATAATGAATATTTATTTATTTATTTTTTGAATACAAAAAATAATAAAATACAATTAAGTGTTATATTTTTCAAAAATAATATAATAATAATAATAAAAACTTTAATTTAATTAAATATTGAAATACATAACAAACAATAAAAAAAACTAAAAAAAATATACAACAAAATCCTTGTGAATGTCGCGACCTTTAAAGGAAACTTGAGTTTATTTTTTTTGTTTTGTTTTATTTTGTTTTTAATATCTACCGTTCCTTCCCTCCCCTCCTATCCAATTATAAACATGACTGTCCCCATAATTATTGCACCTATATACAATGTACCCATAGTATTGTACATATATAGTGTATTATCACTCCCTATCTATCCCTATTATATTTAGTCTATAGAATTAATTCTATATTATTAGTATTATTATATAAATATATTTAATAATAATAATTTATTTTAGTATTGAAAAAAACAAATAAAATTAAAAACTATATAATAGTTTTTATCTTTTAATCTTTTTTTAATCTGAAAATTTTTCTTTCAATTCAAAAATTTTTATCTATAGTTAGCTAATAATTTATATTTATTTAAAAATTTTTATTAGAAAATGCTTATTAATAATAGTATATACTGTATATATATATAATACAATCAAATTATATATAATAAATAATTGTCCCTCAATTACACAAACACACTGTTATGTGTGTGTGTGTGTGTGTGTGTGTGTGTGTGTGTGTGTGTGTGTGTGTGTGTGAGTGAGTGTCCCATTTATTTATTTAATTTTTTGTTTATTTTTAATATCCAATTAATCTGCATCTGTAAGTAAGTTTATGTGTGTGTGTGTAAATGATTTTCAATAATACAAACAAAAATGTTTTATTCATAACATAGTATTTTTAAAAAAATTAAAATTAATACATATTTTAACAAATAAAGAGAGAGAGAGAGAGAGAGAGAGAGAGAGAGAGAGAGAGTTCATCCGTCATTCAGCGCCAGTCATTAAATTAGACAAATAAATAAAAAAAAATCTTATTTTATTGAAAAAAATGTATTTATTTGGTAAAAAAATAATTTTTAAACAAAATAATGTGTTTTAACTTTATAAAATTTTTATTGTTATTATTATTTAAGTATCCCTGAGATTATTAAATAATTATATTTTTTCGCAAACAATAAAAAAAATTAACACACATTTACACAGAGGGTGTGGCAAAACCAAACATAATTTAAGTCAACGATTATTAAATTTTTATTTAAATTTTTTATCTGAAATTAAATTATTAATTTTTTGTTTAATTATTAATATATTAAAAATAGTAAAATCGATATTAAACTATTAAACTACAATCAATATAAGTAAATAAAGTTTAAATTTTTTAAATATTAATTTTGAGTACAGTTTTATTTTAAATAAAATTAATAATTTAATTATTGATTTTTTTTATATTTAATTAAATTAAAAGTAACAAAAATAAATAAATAATTTCTAAAATTTTCAAAATATTTTCAAAAAATAATCGCTTAGATAACATAATCAATTAAATGATCATTGAACAAAATAACAAAACAACAACAAAAAAAATTGTAAAATAATTATAATTGCTAATTAATTATAATTTTTTGAAATATTAATAAATTTGATATTGTATTTAATATTAAAAATTATTTAATGATTCATTCAAGTGTAATTGGTCAAGGTGATAATAATGAAATTAATATTTTTATTATTAATAATAATTTATATATATATTTAATAATATAAAAACTAAAACAAAATAATAATAAGTAAAATATATATTATGAAATTATATGAAACAAATAGTTTATTTAATATGTAATATCATCTAAATTATAATAATATTATTTATACCACTCCTTAAAAAAAGTTATTATTTAATAATAATAAAAATATTAACATAATTCTAATTATTTAAAACAAATTTAACATTATATGTTGTAATAAAAAATTTAAAAACAATGATAAAGTTAAAATAAATTATTAATATACTTATGATGTAAGTATATAAATGACAAAATAAAGTTATTAAAAATATTAATCAAAAATTTTGTTTAATTAACATTTAGAGATACCGGTGCCATAATGATGGCTACTATAGTATTAACAGTATATTTTTTATTTAAAAAAAATCGTCTATACTTGATAGAAATTGTATCTAGGAAAAAAATTATTAATTAAACAAACAAATATATAAATTAAATTTTAATTAATCTAAAAAAAAGTTTTTTTAGAGTTATGACTTAAATAAATCGTTAATTTTAATTTAATCAAAAAAATTAAATTACATTTTTTTGTTAGAAAATAAAATGCTTTTTTAATTATAACAATTAATTTTTAAGTAATCAAATATTTTATTTTGTTGTATATAATAAAAGTAAAAAATAATTATTAAACTTAAATTACTAAAAATTTTTTGAATTAAAATTGTAGCTAAAAAATTAATACTTAAATATAGTAATATTGTAATCAAAATGTTGTAATTTAATATATTTTATCTTTATAAATTTTAATTATATTTATAATTTTTTAAACTTTTAATAAATAATAATAATTGAATTTTATAAAATATTTATATATTCAGTAGACTTTAATAATACTAAACAAATACAAATATATAGAAATATAAATATTTAAAAAAATATTTAAACTATTATTGAATATTTATTATCGATTATTAATTGCTAAATATAAAAAATAAATTTATACTTTAATTAAATATTTAAATTACTGTTTAATTATTACTAAGTCATATAAACAATTATTTTTAAATAATTATTTATCAAATATTTATTATTATTATTATTATTATTATACATTTGTATTAATTAATTTTATATAAAATTCATGACTATTATAGCCCTCACAATAAAAATCATTTTTTATCTAAAATAAATAAATAAATACTATTATAAAAAACAAAAAATATATCAATAATTATTTACCAATAATAAAATTGCATAATTAGTATTCATTTCTATTACGTGATAATTTTTTTTAATAATAAAAAAATGACCATGTACAGTTAATAATGTATTAATTTTGTTAAAATACAATGTAATTAATATATTTGCAAAAAATAAAGTAAATTTTGTGATAAAACAAAATAATTAAAAATAATAAACATTTACTATATTTTTATTGTTATATCTTTTTTTCAAAAAAATATCTATTTAGTTAAATATTTATCACGATTTAACTACTATTACTAATGATTTAAATTTATTTTGATATTATTTAATTGATACTATTATATGTATTTATGATTTATACTAAAATTGTACTAAATATGATTTATAGATATTTAATATATAATTTTTTTTTTTAAATTATGATTAATTTTATTGTTAAACTATAAAAACTAAATAACTTATAATCCTTGTAACTAATGTGTGCATTAAATATATTATCTGTAATTTTTTTTCATTAAATAAATAATAATTTTAAATTTATTGAAAATTTTGTTTTTAATTGTTTATTTTGATTACATTGATAATGAATTTATTAATTTTTTTTGGAAATTTACTTTCATTAAATTAGATATAAATATAAAACAAAAATACAATTTTTAAAATTAGATGCTAAAAAAGTTGCTTTCAATGAATTTTATTATTATTTATCTAAATTACAGATGTCTATTAAAAATATTAAAATATTTATATTTTTTAATCTAATATTCACAATTTGATAAAATTAGCTTTATAAATTTTATCATTTATGTTTAATAAAATATATAATTAATTTTTATTTATTTAGATTTAATTAAAAAAAATTAATTATTTTTTTTTAATTTTCATTATTAAGTATATATAAATTATATACTGTATATACTTTATTATATGTCTATCTATTTAAACTATTTATTAGATTTTTGTTTATATATTAGTATTTATTATTAGAATACTAAAACTAATAATAATTAAAATTATGTCAAGGTTGACAACTAAAATAATATATATATATATTGATATACAATTAATATATAATAATTTAAATAATTATCATTTATTGGAGGAATTAATTATTTTTAGATATTTTGTTTTATGATACAGATCATTTTTAAATAAAAAGATAAATGCATGCAATTTTTTATTAATTAATCATCATCACAATTTATTTCATAGTTTAAAATTATTTATTTTTATTGTTAATTTTGTTTTTTTTGTGTAAAAATTACTTAAACAACATTTTTATATATATATAAATAATACAAAATATTTTTGTAAACATCTATAAATTATCAGAAAAATGTTTTATTTTAATATAAATATTTATATTTGAATAATAAGTTAAATAATTCATTGCATAATAACTAAATTCAAAACATTTTTTACTAATTATTATTAGTTATTTTAAATAATAGCTTAACTTTTATCAACAAAAATGACATATAATGATACAATAAAGTAAATTAAATTATTTAATTACAATTAATTTTTGTTTTATTTTTATATAAAATATGTATTTTTAAAATATATATTAAATTGTATTTTCAAAAAATATGTTCAATAGATAATAATTATTAATAATAATACAAAACATATATATATTTTTATTATATTATATAATACAGTATTTATTATTAATAAAAAATAATATTAAAAAAAACATTTTCATCTAAATATTTAGTAAACAATACAAACTAATTGTATAAATAGTGAAACAGAAAACTAAAATTTTAGTTAAAAAATTATTTATTTATTTTAAAAGTATATTTGTAAACACAAAAAAAAACAATGTCTATTCAAAAACTATTAGTTATTTTCATATTTTATACATTATTTTTTAACATGTTTTCAATTGTTAAGTGTTTAAGAGGACCGGGAGGTTCGTTAAACTTTGACTACTATGCCTATACAGCTATTGTCAAAACACGTACTACCGATCTATTATGTGGCGGTGCTATTATTGCACCTAGATGGGTTATTACAGCTGCTAACTGTGTACCCAGGTAACATATATTATTATTATTATTATTAGGACAATTTAATTAATAAAATTTTAATTTGTAAAAAAATTTTAGTGTTAGTTAATTTTTGCTTATATACAATATATTGATATATATATATATATATATATATATATTTATGAATATAAAATAAAACATTAATTACGAAAATAATAATAATATTGTTTTTAAATATACTAAATAAATGGGAAAAAATTATCTATTTTTTTAATTTATTTATCTAAAAAAACTATTTGTTGTATAAATGTTTTTAAATTAGTAATATTGTTTGTATAATATATATATATTAATCAATATTATCTAATAATTAAAAACATTTATACAATTATTATATATTATATATATTATTAGCAAAATTATTTATGTTGTTGTTGATATAAATTAACAAATTTTTTATAGTTAACATTTTTTACTTAAAAAAAATTAAATTAATAAATATAATTTTTTTTAAAAAATTAAATTATTAAATATAATTTTTTTTAACAAAAAAAAACTAAAAAAAATATTTAGAAATGATCGATCCTATTATCAAATCAAATGTGGTAGTCAACATCTAAAAGATACCGATGACGTCATAGTAGCCAATGTTATACAAGTGTACCGGCATCCACACTATGACCCGGCTAATCAAAATAACAATAATATTGCCTTGCTACATTTGGATACGGTAGTCGATAGGGAACCATGTCAATCGATAAAATTAGCTAGATCATTTCCCGAAATAAATCAGGATAAAAAAATAAGTGTCGACTTTAGCGGCTGGGGTTCAATAGATAAGTCCAGTGAACCGAAACCGTCGGATATTATCAGGAGATTTGCGGCTAATATTTTAAAACAAAATGATTGTCAAAATCGACATCAAAATAAACCGATATTTGTTAATAATTTTTGTACATCACTACCCGGTTATGATCCAAATTTTATCTATGGTGCCTGTGCGGTTAGTAATTTAGTCTACTGTATATATATATTATATTAGAATGTATTACAATACATTATATTTGCAATGTATTAAATTAAGTAATTGTTAGATTTAAAAAAAATAATTAATAATTAACTAGTATTTAATATATATATAATATATATATATATATATATATATATTTAATAATTTAATCTCAGTAATTGTTAGATAAAAAATAATAATTAATAATTATCTAATATATAATATATAAATTTATAAATAAATTTATATTAATTAATCTAGCATTAATATATTTCGTTAATACTATTAATATTAATATATATATATATATGATATTTTTAAACATTTAATAATTATTATTTAATTATTTATTATTTAAGAAATTAATTATTTTATTAAATAATATTTTAATAGCACTTATTATTAAAAAATCAAAATTATTTTATTATATATAGAAATATATAAAAATATATTAATTACTTAATTATAGAAAGATAATGGCGATCCTATTGTTGTAAAAAGATTTCCAAACATTACGTTAATTGGTATTAATAGTGAAAACGGTTGCAATACTTTTGAATTTCCCGAAATCAATACAAATGTTTTGGCTTATAGACCATGGATTAGAGATACTACCAAGCTTATTTTATAAATAATAATATTATTATTATTAATATAAATTGCTTTAAATGAACATTAAAAAATATTTATTGTTTATTTTGTTGTAGAGACAAAATTATTTTAAATTTTAAAAAAAATTATAATAATTTATTATTAATATTTATTTTTTATTGTTGTTGTTGTTAATTACAACTATGCTAATTGAATAATAAATTTAATTTGCATTGTAAAATATTTAAATATTTTTTGGCATATTTAAATAATTAAAAATATTTAAAAAAAATTAACAATAAAATTGATAAAATAATTTTTGATGATAGTTTATTCTAAAATTTTATTAATATTTAAATCTTTACTTAATAATTGTTTGAATAAAAGTTTGATTACAGTTTTTTGTTGTTGTTTTTATATCAAATAATTGTTAAATAGTATTATATAAACTCAATGTCTAAATGTGTGATATTTTTTTTATATATTTAGTTATATCTTATTTAAAATAAATAATAAATAACATATAAATTTTAAAACATTAAAATTTTTTTATTTGTAAATATTATACTTTATAATTGTATAATAGTAAATCTATTATTATAATTAACTATCGAAGAAAAATATTTGCTTAAAATAATTATGAATAAATATATAACAAATAATTATTTTTTTATCTATTATTTTCAATATACAATATATTAAAAAATAATTGTCATCTGTAATGTATTTAAAATAATATTAATTAGTATACATTAGTTTAAATAATTAAAAACTAACAAAACATATTTAAAAAAATGATTACATTTTTAAGAATAAAATTTTTAATTTATGCTTTTCTTGAGTAAATTGTATAAATAAAAATTAATATTTTTTTAAAATTAAAATGTAAAATATTTACTTTTAAAAATTTGTTTTTATTTTATTACAAAAAAAACAAATGCAATGTTTTTTTTGTTTACAAATCTTTATTAAATAAAACATTTAGTAAAAAATTTCTAATAATAATAGTTAAAATGCCTTTCTGATACTAAAAGATTATTTTCATTCAACTTATTTTTTAGTAAAAATTTTAAATATAAAATTTAAATACAGTTTTTTAAAACTTGTTAATTAACTATTTATTTTTTAAATAATTTTTTTAAAAATATTTTTTTAATTAAAATTATGGTAATTGAATAAAAAAAAATATAATTTAGTATTCGAAAATATTTAAAAGGGACAGTATGAAAAAAAGTAATTTTTTTCATGCAAAGTATGAAAAAAAGTAATTTTTTACTTTTTTTCATTTTATAGCATAAAATCAATTTATACTTTATATTCAATATTATTATTTTACAGTTATTCAACAATTTTATTTAACTTATTATTATAGTTAATAGTGTTAATTAAATAAATAATTTTTTATAGATTACAAATTAATATGAAATTGTTAATGTTATTTATTTTGATCATTAGTGACCAATGGTCATTACTGATAATTATTATAAAATAATTAAAAATTTTATTTTGTTTTGTTTTATTAATAAATTTATGTTAATTATATTAATATTAATATTTGCTATAAATTGACCATTGGTCACTTTTGATCATTATAATTAAAATTGACCATAACTATTAATGTGTAATTTAAAATTATATTGTTAATTTTCTTTTTTGATTATTTTTATTTGTATTGACCAAAAATGACCAATGGTCAATTTATAGCAAATATTAATATTAATATAATTAACATAAATTTATTAATAAAACAAAACAAAATAAAATTTTTAATTATTTTATAATAATTATCAGTAATGACCATTGGTCACTAATGATCAAAATAAATAACATTAACAATTTCATATTAATTTGTAATCTATAAAAAATTATTTATTTAATTAACACTATTAACTATAATAATAAGTTAAATAAAATTGTTGAATAACTGTAAAATAATAATATTGAAAATAAAGTATAAATTGATTTTATGCTATAAAATGAAAAAAAGTAAAAAATTACTTTTTTTCATACTTTGCATGAAAAAAAGTAATCAATTGATTACTTTTTTTTGAAAAAAATTACTTTTTTTCATACTGTCCCTATTTAAAAGATCTACATTTTAATTAAAAATAAATTTGATGAAAGCTATTCGATTAACTAAAATTTTACTAATATTTAAAACTTTACTTAAAAATTGTTTGAATAAAAGTTTGATTACAGTTTTTTGTTGATGTTATATGAAATAATTGTTAAATATCAATAGTATTATATAAACTCAATGTCTAAATTAGTGATATTTTATTATATATTTAGTTATATCTTGTTTAATATAAATATTAAATAGTATATATATATTTTAAAACATTATAATATTTTTTTTGTAATTTTATTTACTATTACTATAATTTACTATCAAAGAATAATAAATATATATAAGTTTAATCATAATTTAATTAGATTATTAGTTTTTCAAGTAATTAAACAAGTTAAGATTACTATTTAATATTAATTAAAATACTAAAATCACTTAACAATAATATTAAGTCAATAATAATAATAAACATTTTTTAATATAAAATATAAATTAAATTAACTAAAAATTATTAAAAAAATTTTTTTTATTATTTTAATGCAATTATTTTATTCGGAAAAAAATAATGAAAAATAAAATAAAATATCTTGAATTATTAATAGTTAAAATATTTTTGAAATTATAATTTTTTATATTAAATTAATTAATTTTTTAAATTAATATATTTAAATATTAAATTTAAATTAGTTGATTAATTTAATTGATTTGAATTACACAGAAATACAGGGGTCCCAAAAAAAATTCATACATTGCTTCCGTATATTTGAAGAAAAAGTCGACATTCAAGTAGGCTTTCTCACCGATAACCAGATTGTACGGACCGTTCAATGTATGCAAAACTTTTTCGGCTAATACTGCATAACAATTGTTATCAGTTGTCCGCCACATGTTGTCCTCGTCTACGGTAAGACAGGGTTGACCCGTGAAATCTGCCGTTAGGTTCATAAATGCACCAACAATTAGACTAGCATTTTGTTTGACACTATTCAGGTCAATATTTTCGTAGACACCTATTGTGTAGTTAGTGGATCGGGCCTTGGTAATTTTATCTAAAATGTGACGACCCTAGTTTTTATAGGGGTTAAAATAAAAATTAAATATAATTAATAATTATATTGAAACAATATTTTTTCAAAAAGTGTAGTTTGTAGTTAGTTTGAAATTTTTATAAAAATAATTATACAAAAATTATATATATATATTATAAGTATGATTTTTTTTAAAAATTTATAGTTAATTTTTTTAAAAAATTTATAGTTAATTTTTTTTAAAAATTTATAGTTAATTTTTAACAAGAGTAAAATTAGTAAAATTTAAATCTAAAATCTAACGACCCTATAGTGTGTAGTTTGAAATTTAATAAAAATTATTATTTTTTAAAAATATAACATATTTTGTATTAACATATACTATATAAACTATTACTTTATATATTTAATTAATTAATTTTATTAATAAATATTTTCAAATAAATCTTATACTTAAAAATACAGTATTATTTATTAATTTATATTTAAAAAAATTAAAATATTTTAAAGGTTTATACTTACAGCATCGCTTATTTGACCATTTGATCTAGGTGATACTACAATTTGACTATCGCTAGCGGATTTCAATGATGTAGTTGCTAATTCACATTGTACTAGGCCAATTAATGCCAATGTAACAATTACAATTTTACTGTTCATATTAAATAATAATAATTACTTATGATTTTTTTTAAAAAAATATTTTAATAATAATATCAAATAAGTAATTTATTTTAATTTAATTTTTTACATTGTTTTGCTACTGGTATTTATATGCAGCGAAAAAAATTATTACATTTAGAGTAAGTAATTTTTTTTTTTTTTGAAAGTAAAATAATTGATTAATTTTTTGGAAATAAAATATTTGATTATTTATTTTGTGATTATACTTTGTTTAATAATTAATTGTAAATTAGGTAATAATTGATTAAATTGTTATCAATTTCAAATAAGAAAAGCAAGTGTTTAATTTCATAAATTAATTAAGATTAATATATATATAAATATATTTGATATTATAATAATTTTTAGTATATAAAAAAAGTTGCTCAAAAACTGATTAATTTTAAAATAATTATTTTTATTGATAAAACAATTATTTTTTTTAAAAAAAACAATGTGCCCCAAAACATTTCAGACAGATTATTTAATATGTAAATTTATTTTTATATTTAATTTATAAATTTTTAAATATTATTAATTTAATAAATATAAAATGTAAATTATGTCACACTATAAAAATCGTTTAAAACAATAAATAATTACTAAAATTAGTTATCTATAACTAATTGAAAAATCTTAGAGATTAATTTATTATAGATATTAGTTATTATTTAATTGTTTAATTAAACTGATAAAGAAAATTACAAACAAAAATTGAAATTTTTAAGTAAAATTATTATTATTATATTAGTATAAAAATTACTACATATATTATATAATTAAATATGAATAAAATATAATGAATATTCATTAAAATATTTTTTTATTAAAATAATGTCAAATATACATATATATTGTAAATATTCAATAAATTATATGTTATAAAGTTTTCTGTTTAATTTCAAAAATTTTTTTATTAAATGATTGATTACAGTTTATTTTAAAAAATAATTGTTAAATAGTATTCAAACTAAATGTGATATTTTTCTTAATTTTTTAAAAAATATATACAAGATAATTTACATTAGTGTTTAAAAAAATTTATAAACCGTAGTCGCGACTGCAATTAGCTGAACAATTTTCATATAATTTATTAAAATGTGACCAATTTAAATTTTTTATTAAGTTAAAAATTATTTACAACATTGGTCAACATTACACCTTGATCACATTTTATCTTTTTAATAAGATATTTTTAATTTTATAATAGTTTGGGTATGTTCATAATAACTACTATATTGATTAAAATAAGCTATGTAACTATTTTAATTACAGCTATAATATAATATAATGTAAGCTGAGTAAGTAAAGTTAACTAATATATATAATAAATAATAAATTAGTCTTAAATTTTAATTTTTCTAATAATAGAATTATTTTATTTGTTTTTTTGATTAATAATTAGAGGATTAATGATAAAAATTTTGATATATAATTGATTTAAATAATTACTTACAGTTTTAATAATATAATTTTTGGAATAAATATTTACAAATATTATCAACAACAAAAATAATCAATTTTTGTTAAAAAATCAAAAACTGTATATTGTACATAAATAACTAATTAAATAATTAAAAAAATCATTAGTATAATATATTTTTTTTAAATTGTAAAATCTGCTGTAAGTTAATAAACCTTTAAAATATTTTAATTTTTTTAACTATCAATTAATAAATAATACTGTATTTTTAAGTATAAAGTTTATTTGAAAATATTTATTAATTAAATTAATTAATTAAATATATAATAGTTTATGTTATAGTATGTGTTATGTTATGTTAATATATAATATTTTATAATATTTTTTTAAAAATAATAATTTTTATTAAATTTCAAACAACACACTATAGAGTGGTTACATTTTAGAATTAAATTTTACTAATTTTACTCTAATATAAGTTTAATTAAAAATTAACTATAAATTTTAAAAAAATATACTTTATAATACATATATAATTTTTGTATAACTATGTTTAATAGCCATGTTATGTTAAACTAACTACAAACTATACTTTTTATAAAAAATTAATTATATTTAATTTTTATTTTAACCCCCCATAAAAAACTAGGGTCGTCACATTTTAGATAAAATTACCAAGGCCCGATCCACTAACTACACAATAGGTGTCTACGAAAATATTGACCTGAATAGTGTCAAACAAAATGCTAGTCTAATTGTTGGTGCATTTATGAACCTAACGGCAGATTTCACGGGTCAACCCTGTCTTACCGTAGACGAGGACAACATGTGGCGGACAACTGATAACAATTGTTATGCAGTATTAGCCGAAAAAGTTTTGCATACATTGAACATTTTTGACTAATGTATATATTTTACATTAAATATATAATTGATATAAAAATTTTAAAATATTATTTCTATAAAATAAGTTTTATTTTATATATAAATGTAAAAAATAAGTCATACTATAAAATTGTTAAAAAAAAAGTTAAAATACTAAAATTAATTATCTATAACTATTTGAATATAGATATTAGTTATTATTTTATTGATAAAAATTAAATTGGTAAAATAAATTACAAGCAAAAAAGTAATTTTTTAAAGTATAATTATTATTATTATTATTATTATATTAGTATAAAAAATAACTATATATTTAATAAATATTTTTTGTAAATTATTTTATTATAAACTTTTTTGTTTAATTTAAAAAAATACATTTTGTCCATCAACTAAATCCTAAACTTTTATTAATTAATAAAACTTTACTTCAATTGTTGATTAAATGATTGATTACAGTTTTTTTTAAAAATAATTGTAAAATAGTATTCAAACTAAATGTGATATTTTACTTATATTTTGTTTTAATATTAAGCAACAATGTTATAAATAATTTAAAACTAAATTGAAAAAATTGTATTACAATATATACAAGATAATTTACAGTTAACTGTTTTTTTTTTAAAAAATAAAAATGATAGTCGATTACAATTATAAAATTAATTAAAATATGACCACTTACAATTTTATTTATTTAATTTTCAAAATTATCTACAACATTGCCCCCACCTTGGTCACTTTTTCAATTGTATACTTTCAAATGGACACTGATAATTGTAATTAATCTCGTTTTTTTATAATAAGTTATTTTAGTAATATGTTTACATTTTAAATATATAAATTTAATTTTTTTTTCTGTAAATTTAACTATAATTTTAAAAAAATTGAAACTTGCAAATATGATAATTTAATCAAATAAAAAAACATTTAACATAAAATTATTGATAATTAACGCCTATGTATTAGTAAAAAATAATAACATTTTGTTTATTTTACAGTTTTGCAGTATTACTATATATATATATATATATATTCATTTAGTCACCCAACGATTATTATTAAAATTAAAAAAAATAAATAAATCTAATAATTAAATCTATACTTTATATTAAAAAAAAATAAAAATAAATAATTAGAAAATTTTTTTATGAATTCATTGTCTATACAAATTAGATATATTAATATTTATACTAAAATATAATTTTTCAAATATAATACAAATCTGATTGTGTTTAAAGTTTAATTTAAAAATAACTAATTTTTACTGATAAAACAATTATTTTACATTTAATATATAATTGATATATAAATTTTTTTAAATATTATTAATTTAATAAATTAAACATTTTTTTTAAAGAAAAACAAGTTTTATTTTATATAAAGTAAAAAATAAGTAACACTATACTATTGTTAAAATAGTTAGTAAAATTTGTTATCTATAACTAATTGAATATAGATATTAGTTTTTATTTTATTGATAAAAATTAAACTGATAAAAAAATTACAATCAAAAATTGAAAGTTTTTATGTAGAATTATTAATATATATTAGGATAAAAATTACTAAATATTTAATAAATAAATTTAATTAAATATTAAAAATTGAATATTGTATAACTATTAGTTGGTTAAATACAATGAAATTACAAATTTATTAAAATATTTTGTAAATAAACATTTAATTAAATATTATAAACTTTTTTTGAAATAATTTTAATTTAAAAAAAAACATTTTCAACGCCATTTAGATCATAATTTAGTTTTATATTTTAAAACTTTACTTCAATAAATTTTTGATTAAATGATTGATTACAGTTTTTAAAAAATATATATATATATAATTGTAAAATAGCATACAAACTATATATGATATTTTACATATATATATTGTTTTAATATTAAGCAACAATGTTATAGCTAATTTAAAATTAAATAACATATTTAAAAAAATGATTACATTTTTTATGATTTTTTTGAGAATAAAATTTTTAATTTAAATGTTTTTTGAGTAAATTATATAAATAAAAATTAAATAATTAATATTTACTTTTGAAATTTTTTTTTGTTTTATTTAAAAAAAACAAATGCAATGTTTTTGTTTACTAATCTTTTATTAAATAAACTTTTAGCAAAAAAAATTCTAATAATTATAGTTAGTATGTCTTTTGAGAACCTAAAATTTTAATTTTATTTAACTTAAATTTTGGTAAAAATTCTAAACATAAAATTAAATACAGTTTTTTAAAACTTATTAATTAACTTTTTATTTTTTAAATATTTATTTTTATAACAATTATTGTAATTTAATCAAAAATTTAATTTGCATTGTAATATATTTAAAGATTTTTTTTGGTATATATAAATAATTAAATATTGTTAACTAGTTTTATATAAACACATGTAATATTTTATTATATTTAATTATTCAATATAAATAATAAATAAAATATAAATTTTAAACATTATAATAATTTTTATGTGATTTGATTTACTATTATTATACAGTAATTAATTATCGAAAAAATATAATTGCTTAAAATAATTATAAAAAATATATAATAAATTATTAAAAATAATTATTATCAATATACAGTATATAAACTTTTTGTGATTTTTTTTAAATAAAATTTTTAATTTAAATGTTTCTTGAGTAAATTGTATAAATAAAAAATAATTAATAAATTAATATGTAATTTTGAATTTTTTTTGTTTCAATGTAAATCTATAAGATATATTAAAAATATATATATATAATTAATTATAATTTTTTTTATTAATTTATTGTGTATACAAATTAGATAACTTTATATTCATACTAAAATATATTCAATCATTATTGTATTTATGAATTAATTATTTATATTATTTTTAAATAGACAAACAGTAAAAAAAATTAAATTATTTATTCTATACACTATATGTTATTGTATTATAAATAATATTTTAGTTAGGCCTGACATTTTTAAATTAATAATTTTTAACTTATAGAAAATCATAAATTTTTTTTTTAGAAAAATTATTTATTTATTACAGAAGATATTTTTAAGCTATTAGTATATAATTATTTTAGAAATGTTTTTTTATAAAAAAAATTATTCAAAACTAGTAAACTAATTATTAGTTAATTATTTTTTAAAAATTATAAAAATTGTAAAAGTTAAATTAAATTACAGTTTTCTGTATTTTGTTTAATACTAGCTATTAATTTAGTTAATTCATAATTTATAGATTAATAATATTTAAAACTTTGATAAAATTAAAGTTTTATTTTATATTTATTACACATTATATTTAATTTTTAAAAAATAATTAGATTTAATCTGAAACAGTATGGAAAAAATTATTAAAATTATTATTAAAGTATATAGATTTAATAATAATAATAATAATAAATTTACTGTTTTATACTTAAAGAATCGCTGATTTGACCATTTGATCTAGGTGATACTACAATTTGACTATCGCTAGCAGATTTCAGTGATGTAGTTGCTAGTTCACATTGTACTAGGCCAATTAATGCCAATATAACAATTACAATTTTACTATTCATATTAAATAATAATACTGTAATTACTAATGATTTTTTTTAATAAATATTTTAAAATTATATCAAATAAGTATTTTTAATTTTAATGTAATTTTATTTTTATTTTCATTGTTTCAGTAATTATATGCAGTGGAAAAAAATTATTGCTTAATTTTTTTAGTACATCTAGATTATGTACTATTATTTTTAATTGAAAATAAAATAATTGATTATTTATTTTGTGATTAAACTGTGTATATAATTAATCATAAATTAGATAATAATTGATTAAATTGTTATCAATTTCCAAATAATAGCAAGCGTTTAATTTAATAAATTAATTAAGCGTAAATTATATATATTTATATTTTATAATAATTTTTAGTAAATATAAAATAAGTTGCTCAAAAAAATTGATTGTGTTTTTTAAGATTAATTTAAAAATAACTTTTTTTTACTAATAAAACAATTATTTTAAAAAAATAATGTGCTAAAAACTTTTCAGACATAAATAAAATAATTTAACAATGTACTAATTTATTATCAATAATTGTACTAATCAATAAATTGACTAGTACATTTAAAAAGTACAATGTACTTTTTATCAATATATCTAAAATTTAATTATGGTGTCAATTATAATTAGTAAATATAATATAATTAAAAAATAATTTATAAATATTTGACATTTAAAAAAAATAAACTAGTCCACTAATAAAGTTTCATAAATATATTTTTTTTTAAAAATGAAATATTTATTAGTTATTAATTTTATTGCTTTATCATTAGCTATGGTTAATGCAAGCATTTTGTCTAATCTAGAAAATAATAATAATAATCCACGAAATTTTTCAGGAAAAGTTGTATTGACTACCGGTTCGAGTAGTGGTATCGGTGCCGGTATTGCCAAACTGTTTGCCCGATTGGATGCACTTGTTGTCATCACTGGTCGAAATCAAACTGAAATCCAATTAGTGGCCAATGAATGCCAACAGTTATCGCCTAAAAAACTAAAGGTTTGCTTAATATTATAATAATTATTATTATAATAAAATTTATTAATCCAAATGTATAGCCATTACAAGTCAGGGCCGATGTTAGCAATAGTACTGAATTGCAGTCACTATTGGATCAGACAATCAAAACGTACGGCCAGTTGGATGTGTTGGTCAATAACGCCGGTATTGCTCTTTACTCAAACGTTACGGACAAACAATTTATGTCAGTATTTGATAGAGTATTGAGTGTTAATCTGCGTCCGTATGTAGAGCTCAGTCATCTATCGGTTCCCTATTTGAACAAAACTAACGGCACTATTATCAGCATATCTAGTGGACTATCAATGACTCCGGTTATTATCATAACTTATATATATAATTACAATAATCTAAACCCAATAATTAATAATTATTATTATTTATTTAATTAATTTTAGACTAAATCATTGTTAGCCTATTCAGTGTCCAAAACGGCTATAGATATGATGACCCGTGTGTTGGCACTTGAATTGGGACCCAATATACGGGTCAATACTATCAAGTAATTAATATATATATATATTTAAATTAATTAATTTATTTTATAAATAATATTTTTTTTGTTTAATTAATAATTATATTTGTATAGTCCGGGAACAGTAGCTACTAATCTTGGTTCGGGTATGGATGACAAACAACGGGAAGTAATTATTAAGTTAGTCATATCCCTTACACCATTGAAACGTTTGGGTCAGCCCCAGGATATAGCCGATGCTTGTATTTGGTTGGCCTCCCGATCGGCCAGTTTTATAACCGGTGCCCAACTGGTCATCGATGGCGGACTTATGTACAATTCAGGCGGTTTTTAAAGTATTATTTTGTTTATTGCAATTAAAAACCATTAAATTAATTTTAATAATTATTTTTAATTAGCATATACTGTATGTTATTCTGAAAACAATAAACATTTTTTTTTAAATTTACTAATTATTTTTTTCAAGTTAAATTATTATTTTGTGGAAATATAGTGTCTACAATATAATATAATTTTTTTTTAAAAAAACATTTAAAATAAAGTTAAATGCTATATACAATTAATAAAAAATATAATAAATTTTTAATTTTATTTTTTCTAACAATATATTTTTATTTATTTGTTTTATAATTAGTGGATTTATATAATAAAAAAATGATAAATAATTAATTTAAATAATTACTTACAGTTTTAATTATATAAATTTGACTTAATAATTAGAAATATTATCAACAAACAAAAATAAACAAAATTTTTGTTAAAATCCTAAACTGTATGTTGAACATAAATTACTAATTAAATAATTTAACATTTATAAAAAAAATAATTTTTAGTAAAGCCACTATTTTGTGATAATATTTTTTTTAAATTGTAAAATGCAATAATATTATCAAAATATCCGATTTATTTTTTCGATTTAGTTTTAATATATTAGAAATTATTTTTTTATTATGTTATAATTATAATAATTTTGTTTACTAAATAATATTTAACTAAAATATTTATTATATTTGAACTTAAATATACATAATTTAAAAATAAAAACTTTTAATTTTCGATAATCTATTGTTTAATGAATGTATTTTAGTTGTAAATATACAGTTTATTATTTTTTTTTCTAAATTAAATTTTTTAGATAATAATTTATTTGAGATTTTAAACTAAAAAAAATCAATCTTTACTCAATAAAACTAAATAAAAAATATTTTTGATATTTGTTTGATGAATGATTAAATAATAATAATAATAATAATTACATAAGTTTTCTAATTTATATATATATATATTATAAATAATGTTTTTAAATATAAAATAATTGATTTTAATTAATAGATTGTTTTAATACTGAGATATTTGCCTATATATTTACTGTGTATAATCTAATATGAAATTATTTTTTATTATTAAACTGTAATAATGAACAAAAGATTTTATTTATATATATATATTAGTCTAGATATTATTTATTAGAGAACAAAAAAAAATAAAATTAGATTTTTTCTAAATTAAAAATATAATAACTTTAAATAAAACACATATTTTATCTAAATTCAATTTTTAATTCATTCATTAATTCATTATAATAATTCATTATTATTTTTTAAATATAATTATTTTTTAAAAAATAAAACAAGTTATCTAAATGAATTTGTATAACTATTTATTAAAAAACATAAAACTTAAAGTTTAAAGGTATATTGATATGAATTAATTAAAAGTATATAAGTTGTCAATAAATATTTTATTTTTTTATATTTATAAAATTGTAATAATATTAATAAATTTTAAATAAACAAAAACAAATTATAATTGATCTGCTTAATTTGTAATTTAATATTTATTTTAATTTAATTTTAATAATTATCTAATAAATAATACTTGAAAATATAAAACTTACAAGTTAGTAAATTGTTATATAAATTGTTATAATTATATGCAATGTTTTTTTTCAAAAAAATGTTTATATATATAAATACAAAAAACTGTAAAATTAGCAACTAATAACAATAGATTTTAAACATTTATAATTTTAATAATAATTTTAGTCTCTATATACATATGACAAATTTAATTTTTAAATACAATTGTAATAATAATAAATTTTAGCAAAAACAAAAACAAAACAAATTATAATTAAATTGTTTAGTTTTATTGTTATTTTAATCTAATTTCTAGTTTCTGAACACAACTTTCCGATTAGTTTCAATAGTCCAATAGATTTAAACAAATATTACTGAAATATTTTTTTAATTAATTAACTTATTATTTATTTTTTTGATAATCAAATATTTTCATTGTATCTGATATAACTAAAATTTTAATTATTAATCAATTCAAGTCTATATATTTATTATATTTATAGTTATTTTATTAAATTAAAATTTTAACGATATTAGAAATATATGTATTTAAAAAACTGTAACTATTATAAACATTGTTACATTAACTTAATTTTTATTTTATTAATATTTTAATTTCTACAACGTTGTATTTTTTCATATTTTATATTAATTATATTAATGTATATTAAATTTTATAATTTATACACTAAACATTTGATAGCATAAATAGTTTTAATTTAATTAGAAAAATATATGTAAAATTATATTAGTATTTAAAAATGTTTGAATTAATTTTTTAAACACTTTTTATTAAATATATTAATAAAATAATTCACATAAGCAATAGATATAATAAAATATTTTAACTTATATAAATAGTATACATGTATAGTTTATTAATATATTTAATTATTTTAATAAAAGCTATATTGTGAAACATTAAAAAACATATTTAATATTTAATAATTTTTTCTTAGTTTTCATTAGTTTTAGTTTAGCATTTGATTAACAAAATACATATAAAAAATAAATAAAAATTTATTAATTTGTTTTTTAATTTTTAATATATTTTAAAAAAATGAATTATTTAATTATTATTCTATTCTCTTTAATATTATTTAATTATTTTATTTCTAATAGTAATCAACTTAGTGACAAACAAAGTAATTAATTTTTAGTTTTTAATAATTTTTAATTAATAGTAAAATATATACTTTTATTTTATACTTTTATAACAAATTATATTTATTATCTATTAATTTTGATTATATTTTTGTAGAAAAAGCAAAAAAATGTTAGATAAACATCGTCAAGATTATGCAGGTAAATTAAATAATTTTTTAAATATTATTTTATTATAATTATAAATAACTATTATTTTTTAGAAAAATCTATTTTATTTTATTAAATAATAAGTATTAATTAACTGATTATAATTAATTAAATTTGTTTTAATTAACATTTATTTATACAGTTTTTTTTAAGGTGAAGTTGTAATTAAATATTAAAATTTTTTTAAATAACTTATTATAAATGAAAAATTACAATTGATTATTTTTTAAAAAATAATATTAATAAGTAAATCTATTAAATATTAAAAAAATTATATATATATATTATAATAGATAGCAGAAACGAGGACACAACTCACACAGGTAGAATTATCAATTAATTAAATTTAATTAAAAAATTTTAAATTAAACTTTAAGCAAAAATATTATTATTTTTTTTAATATAATACAATAAATTAATAAACTAAATTTACATATATTTTTTTTAAAGGAAAAAATAGACACTCAGCCTTCAACAATAAAGTGCATGAATATGACAAATGTATTAAATTAATTAACTAATTAATTAATTAAAACATCATGATAAATATTTATTTATTTATTTATATATTTTTTTTGACTAGCAATGTGTCATTGCAATAATCATCATGGTACTTTTTGCGGTTTGGGTATCGAAAATACTGTTGTCCAAACAACTGGTCAAACAGTTTTGTTGGGTAAAACATGTCTAATGGGTAATATATATGAATGTACAAAAAAATAGTAATAGTCCCAAAACTAGGGCTATTGAAAAATCACAATGCAATCGATGCGAACAAATCTGGTCAAAGGAGTTTGGCTATTCTGCTAGATGTTATTCAATTGATGGTTTAGGTATTAATTATAATCAAATTAATCAATTAGACAGTAAGTAATTGTAGTAACAATTGTATTTAAAATATTATATTTTTAAAATATTTTTTTTATGATGAAAATAATTTTTTTTTAATATCTATAATCTATATATATATATATATATATATATATATATAAAATATTTATAATTAAAATAATTAAATTCATTATCATCATATTGATAGAGGAAAGCGTAAACTTGAATTTTAGTTAGTAAAATTTTTTTAAAATTTTTTTTTTAATAAAAAAATTATAGCTAAATTTAAAAATTTTTTAAAATTAAAAAAAATTAAATATTAATAAAAAAAAATTTTTTATAGTTGATACATGTCAATGTCATGAATATATGGGACAATTTTGTTGGTACGATGCAAATAAAATTGGTCAAAATTCTGATCGCAAAGAGGACCGGTATTTATTGAAAGGAAACTGTAGGCGCGATACTATCTACTATTGCGATCCTAAAGAGTATAGGGATAAGAAAAATTTGGTACCCAAGAAAACTACTTGCGCTGATCATAATATTTGTTTTAAAAATGGTCATACTACTGCAATTTGTAATAGTGGCCCCACTAAAGGTATAGTATATACACATATACATTTACACATACACTTTACACATATACAATTTATACATATACACTTTACATATATATATATATATATATATATATACATTTATCACATCTAAACTCTACACATATACACTATACACATATATACTTTACACGTATAAATTTTACACATATACATTTACACATATACACTTTACATTTATACAATTTATACATATACACTTTACAAATATATATACTTTACATATATACACTATACACATATATACTTTACACGTATAAACTTTACACATATACATTTACACATATACACTTTACACATATACAATTTATACATATACACTTTACATATACACACTTTACACACATATACATTTTATCACAGATAAACAATTTTAAAAAAAAAATATTTTGATTTTTTTACTTAAAAAAACTTTAGTTACAAAACTTCATGATTCTCTATGCAACAATCATATTGGTATCTATTGTGGCCATACAGCCAATAGACTAATCAATGGCCAGATAACACTAAAAGGAAATTGTTTAAGTAATACTTTGTACTATTGTGACCAGTTTGCACAATTTGGACCGGCACTATATAATCAAACATGTACAAATAATAATAATAATAATAATAATAATAATAATAGTTGCTATCAACATATGAGTGGTGGTAGTTGCGATAGGAATAGTGGTAATAATAATAATAATATTATTATTATAAATAATTATTTTATTGAAATTTTTATTTTTTTTCATTAATAGATTCCCAAATTAATAAAAAAAACACCAAAATTTCAATGGAACAATAAAGATACAAAAATTTAACCATTAGTAAATTTAATGTTTATTTTTTCAAAAAAATCTATATATTTATATTTAATTCAAATTCTTTAAAAAAAACTAATAATTTTTTTTTAAATAATAAACAAAAAATAATTTTTTAAGTTAAATAAAAAAGTTTTAAAGTTATTATAATTGAATAAATGTATGTGTATGTGTATGTGTATGTGTATGTGTATGTGTATGTGTATGTGTATGTGTATGTGTATGTGTATGTGTATGTGTATGTGTATGTGTATGTGTATGTGTATGTGTATGTGTATGTGTATGTGTATGTGTATGTGTATGTGTATGTGTATGTGTATGTGTATGTGTATGTGTATGTGTATGTGTATGTGTATGTGTATGTGTATGTGTATGTGTATGTGTATGTGTATGTGTATGTGTATGTGTATGTGTATGTGTATGTGTATGTGTATGTGTATGTGTATGTGTATGTGTATGTGTATGTGTATGTGTATGTGTATGTGTATGAGTTATAAATTTTAAAAGTTAAAAAAATTTAAATTTAATGTTTAATTTTGTTTAATTTAATACACAAATTAATTTAAAATACTATTATGTTTTTATTTTATTTTAATTGACTAATGTTTAAATAATTTTGATACATTTTAATTTTTTTTTTAAATTTATTATATTAAATAACTGTAACATTTTACAATTAATATATTATAGACTTTACTAATTATAATATTAATAAACAGTTATATATAAAAAATTTTGATTTTGTTAATTACAAAATTATTTATTATAAATTTAAAATTAGTATAATAATTAAAGAAAGATATTTAAAAAATTAAAATAAATTTAATTTGCAGTTGTAATTAACAAAAAAATAAATATAATTATATTTTTTTTAATACATTTAACAACAACAACAATAAATTTAAAATAAAAAACTATGAATTATAAATAGCATTTATTTTTCAAATTAAATAAAATTTATTAAATAAATTTATTATACATAATTTGACTATATTATTTTAAATGTTAATACACAACATAATATAGTAAAAAATTTAATTAATAATTTATTAAAAATAAATCTATATTTTTTTACTGTTAATTACTAAAATCAACTTAATAATAAAATTTATATTAAGTGTTAATACTGTATTATTATTATTATTATTATTATTATTATTATTATTATTATTATATTTAATTTTATTTATAGTTAGAATTTTTTAAAAAACATATTTTATGACACATTTAATTTTAATCACTAATTATCTGTAAATCTTGTAATAAACTAAAAGAACTATTGATAAACTAATTTATTTTTTTTTAAAAATTCACTTGGTTATTTTGATTTATTGTAAAATAAATAATTTATGAGTATAACCGATAATTTTATTTTGTTATAATAAGTGATAATTTAATTATTTTAATGAAAATTATTTAATTAATTTATTTTTGATATAGAAAGTAATATACTCTTAGCAATTGTATTAACTATATTCAAACAAAATAATTTTTAAAAATAAAATATTTTATACATTTCTGACACATTTAAAAAATTTAAATAAATATTATTTAGTTATTTTTATTTTATAACTATTAATAACAATTTATTATAAAAGATAAACAAATTAGTTGAAAATATTATAATAACATTAAGATCACTGAAATTAATTAAATTGATTATAAATTAATTGCTTATTGTTTTTATAATAAATAAATTGTCTAAATAATTGCAAATATTATTAAAAAATATAAGATTTTTTTTAAAAATCAAAAAGCTGTATTTTATATATAAATAGTTTAAGAACGTAATTTAAAATTATTAAAAATTTAACTATTTTAGAATAGAGAAATATTTGCCATAATTTTGTTCAAATATTGTAATAAAAATTATCAATTAAACATTAATTTTGTGTTAAATGATTATAATTATTATTCTATAAATTTAATTAAATTAATTAATCAGTTAAGTTATATTTATATAATATTTATTTTAAATTTAAAATTTAAGTTTATTTCATATTTATAGAATTGATAATAAGTTTAACAAATAAAAATAAAATTATAATAAAATTAATTAATTTTGATGGTGTTATTTGTAGTTATTTTAATGTAATTTTAATAATTATCTAATTAATAATGCTTCAAATCTAAGTTGATCAATTATGTCATAATAAATATTTGCAAATATTATGAAATAATAATAATTTATTTTTTTTTTAAATTTTTAAATACTGTTTATTGAACATAAATAGTTAATTGAATAATTTTAGTTTATCTTAATTTTAATAGATTTTATGCAAATAAATAATTAAAATGTTTAGTAAATTATATTTTTTTAAAATTAGATATTATTATTATTATTATTATTATTGCAACACTGGGTTTGTAATATAGAAAACAATGTAATTAATAATTAATTAAATAATAATATTTCCTTTACTGTTAATTACTAAAATTTATATCTAGTGTTAATATTAATTATTATATTTACTCTTATTTAAAGTTAGATTTTTAAAAAATATATAAATAAACTATTTAGTAAACTGTAACTTTTAACATACAATTCTATTATGTAATAATTAAATTATAATAATTGTAATTTATTAGGTTAAAGACAAATTTGAACTAAAATTATAATTTTTATTACAAAAAATTCAAATTACAAGTTAATTGATTAATTTTAATAATGTTAATCTTAAAATTGAGCAATTTATATATTTATTCATTATTATCAGCAATAAAAAATCAATGATATTATAAACATTAAAATTTAGTTTTTATTATAAATTGCTTAAATAATTGCAAAGATTATGAAACAATAGAGCAATTATTTTTTAAATTAAAAAAACTGTATTTTAAGATAAATAAGTAAAAAAAGTAATTTAAAATTAATAAAATTTTTAATATTTTAGATTATCACAACTTTCTCATATTTTTAAAAAAAATATTGTAATCAAATCGCTTATATTTTTATTATTATTTAAAAAATTCGAATATATTTTTAGTTACAGTTTTTATTTAAAAATAATATCTTTAATTTATTTTACAGTTAATTACAATTTTCTTTTGATAATATATTTATTTAAAAAAAAACTGTAAAATTAATTATTAATGTAATATTATTGTTGTTTATTATACCAAAATTTCTAAATTAGTTAGTAAACCGTAAATATAATAGATTTTTTTTAATTATTTATTTTTTTTGCTACAATTTGTTAATGATTTATGTTATACCAATAGAAAAGTTATTTATAAAATAATTAATCATGAAGTCAGCAAAAAAAAAATAATTTAAAAATTATTTATTTTAGAATTTTCTAATTAAATAAAAACTACAAATTAGCTAACAAAACAATTAGTGACTAAATTTAATTAAAAAAAATTTCATTTATATATTTATTAAATTATAATTAAATAATAAAAATATTTCAATCAATGCGTTTTGTAACTAAAACTTAATATAAAGTATATATTAACTAATTAATTTAATTATTTAAATAGATTGTACAGTTTTTTTTTAAAAAATAACTATTGAATCAATGATTTTATTAATTTATTGTCAATTATTTAAAAATTTATTTTAGCTATTATTAAAATAAACAACATTATTATTATTTTAATTGAGATTTTATACAAATTAAATTTAAATAGTTTTATGGTATGTTTTTTTTATTAAATTGTTTGTTGCTATTATTTTTAAATTAAATTAAAACATATTAGTGTCCCAAGTTATATATAATAATATTGTTTGCTAAATAAATTATTTTAAGTAATATTTTATATGTTACAGTTTATTTAAATATAAATAATATTTTTTAGAGTATTTAAAATAAGTATAAGAAATTAATTGTATAAATTTTTCTTTTATTAATATTTTAATTTTAATTTCTTTAACGTTATAATTTTTGCTCATATTTTATATTAATTATATTTTTGTTGATGTTTTTATTTAATTGTGTTTTTTTGTACAAATTGATAAAATTAAGTTTAGTTAAGTTGTAATAATAACTATTTATTTCAAAATATATATTTGTATTATATTATAAATTATCATATTATAATTATCACAATTATAAATTAAATATTACTATTTTTGCAATAATTAGATTTCTTTTTAGTATTAAACATAAATAACAAAAATTTTAAAACACTTTTATTAAATTATCTTATTTTTGTTATTTAGAAAACTGTAATAGTTAATATAAAAATTATAAAAAAGATTTATATAATAGTTTAGTTTATTTTAAAATTTAGTGTGAAATGTTTTGGTCGTATATTTAATTAGTTATATATTTAAATTTTTTGTTTTATTTTATTAAGTTTCTTTCTATTAAATAATTAATTTTTTAATTTAAAGCAAATAAAATTTCAAAGTTTATTTTGAGCTTGCCTTTTAAAATTAAATTTTTTCTAAATATAATCAATTAATTAATTGTCAACACATTTTCTAGTTATTATCAAAAAATAAATAAAAATTTATGCTTAAATTTTTAATCTTTTATTTAATATATTTATTTTTTAAAAAAAATAATCTCTTTAGTAAACTGTAATAAACAACATATAATTTATAAGAATATATTTATTAAAATATAATTGTTTATTTAATTTAGGAAAAATAGAAGGCCATGAATTAATTTTGTATTGTATTAATTAAGTTATTTGTAACAAATATTTAACATAAAAATTATCTATTATTATAATAAATTAGAATCAATAAATAATTAAATTATTAATAGATTTAAATTTTATAGTGTTTATTATTTATTTTTTTTAATAATTAAATAGTTTCATTGTATATGATAGAATAATTAATTGTTTTCAACTTTAAAAATTATTATTTGAATAAATTAGATTTAAGTTTATAATTAATCAATTCAAATCTAT